TATAATAGTTAGATTATCTGTGATCTCTCTCTCTCTCTCTCTCTCTCTCTCTCTCTCTCTCTGCATGTATGTATACATTTGTGTGAGAACACACCTGTATGTGCATGTATAGAGGCTAGAAGGTGACTTCACTTATCTTTCTCTATTGTTCTCCACATTGTTCATAAAATTTATTTATTTTTATTTTATGTGGTGTATTTTGCCTGCATGTATGTAAGTGTACCCCGTCATGAAATGCCCACAGAGGTCAGAAGAGGGTGTGAGATTTGCCTGGAACGGGAGTTATGGATGGCTGTGAGCTGCCATGTGGGGACTGGGAACCAAATCCAGGTCCTCTGCAAGAGCCCCTCCATATTATTTTTTAAGACAAGGTCTCTCACTGGACTTAGAGCTTACTATTTTAGCTATGCTAGCTAACAATGAGCCTCCAGATATACCTATCTCCCATGCCCCCCAGAGTTGGGTTATAGGTACATGCCTTCATGCCCAGCTTTTACATGGGTGTTGGGAATTTGAACTCAGGTTCTCATGTCTGTACAGCAAGCATTTTACCAGCTGAACCATCACCTCAGTCCTGTTTGTCTTTGTTTTCTGAGGCAGGGACAGGTCTCATTATGTAGCCCATGCTGGCGGGAACTCACTATGCAAACTAGGCTGATCTGAAACTTACAAAGATCCTTCTGCCTCAGCTTCAAGTGATGGGATTATAAGCATGAGCCTTCACACCTGGCTTGGGATGTGGGACTTCTGAGCTAATGATATTTAGATGTGACTTCAGTTTTAAAGTTGATGATGATGTCATAGCTTGTCTTGGGCTGAGGAGAAGGAATGAAAAGATAGCTCCCGAGCTGAGATTTGGGGCTACTGGGATGGAATAAATATTTCACAAGTAAAAGGGCATGCAATTTTGCACTGAAGTTCTCAAATAGTGACCCCCAAAAGATATATCTAAATCTTAACCTTGGATACCTGAGACTATCGCCCCTTTTTGAAATAGGTCCCTGCAGCTGTAATGAAAAATCCCAAGATGAGGGCTGGAGAGATGGCTCAGCGGTTAAGAACACTGGTTGTTCTTGCAGAAGACCCGGGTTCGAATCCCAGCACCCACATGGCAGCTAACAACTGCCCGTAACTCCAGTCCCAGGGGATCCAACGACCTCTTCTGACCTCCACGGGCATTGCATGACACGGGTGCAACTTACCTACACACAGGCGATACTCGCGTACACATAAAATAAAAATATAAATAAAATTTTTTTAAAATCCCAAGATGAGATCGTCATGAACCTAGGGGCCCTAAATCCATTGAGAAGTGGATTATTTCTTATAAGAATCCTTATAAGAAAAGACATACAGAGAAGGTGATGTGAATATAGAGACTGGATGAATACTAAGCATGCCAAGAACCATCAGAAACTAGGAAGAGAGGCAGGGGACAGATTTGGAAACCAGGTTTCCAAAGAGACAGACCCTTGATGATACCTTGACTTTGAACTTCTGGCCTCCAAACAGAACAGAAAGCTATGTTGTTTTAAGCCACCAATGTATGTGGTAACTCCCAGTAGCCCTAGGGAACTAACACACAGCACCTCTCTCTGGTCTCTGGCTTTTGCTGCTGTTTTTGTTACATTCACCAACAGCATGCTATGATAATGCTAAATGCTCCTATGTTTCACTGTGCCCATCTTCCTTGGCCCTTGATACACCTCTGAAGGAGGATTCTTCTTCCCACTTGTTCCACCTGCCTGGTCCTTGAGTGGACATAGCAACTGGGTACAAGCCCCCAGAGACTGCAGCTGGGTACTCACCCGTGAGGCAAGGCCATTGGTGAGTCCACTGGACGTCCTCCTCACCACCGCTGACGGGGTCATCTCTTCCTCAGCGGGAGACTTTGTCCGAGGAGGCACAATGCCAACTACAGGGAGACAGAGCAGCCAGTGGGCCTTGTGGGAAGCAAAGGCCAGAGTGCCTGCTTCTTGGGGAGAGGCCTGGTTGTCCTCTCCACTGAGGCTGAGGGCCTAGGGTGGGTGAGCAGCTGAGTATGAAGACGGACCTAGGCCAGTCCTCTCTGGTCTTAGCTTTAGGCAAAGATAGGCTGAGACTCGTACCTTTGTTGAGAGCTGCCTGCTTCTCTGCCTCCACCTCTTGTCTGGTGGGCACAAGGCTGATATCTCTGGGGGTGTCCAGGGGCGATGTCTGGTGGGGATCTTTCTTGTTTTGCTCATAGCTTGTCTTGGGCTGGAGAGAAGGAATGAAAAGATAGCTGATGCTAGGGTGACTGCCGGGACTTGGCCTCCATAGCCTCCTTTCTATGTGTGCTAGCTAGTAGTGTGCACGGATGGCTCCAACTCACGCACTTCAGTCTGGGCCCTGTTGAAAATCAAAGGCCAGGAGGGCTATAGCCCAGGCTCATCAGACAGGCCCCTGTCCCACCCAGTTATCTTGGCGAGCTTGGAGAAAGAACAGACCCATGGCAAGCTCTGGCTCATAGCAAGGAGTGGCCAGAGGATGGGGCTACAAAACTTAGGGTCTCTGAGAAGCCTGTCAGGATCCACAAAGACTGTGAAGACAGAACCAGGCAGGCCTAGGTACCAGGGTTCTGGGGAGATGGAAAGGGCATTTGCTTGTGGGTTTATGGATCAGGAGGCCTCAGACATCATCTGAGCCTCCTCCTCATATTGTGAAGTTAAAGTTTTTTTGTTTTTGAGATGGAGTCTCACTATGTAGACCATCCCAGGCCTTGATCTCACAGTGATTTGCCTGCCTCTGTCTCCCAAGTGATGATGAGATTAAAGATGTGTACCACCATGTGTGGCAAAGAGTCTAAGCTTCAGTGAGAAAAATACAGAAAGAAGAGCAGGCTGGGATCTGAAACCCAAGTCTCGTCCTCCTTGGTCAGCTACAGTCAATACCAACTATTCTCCCTGTCTCACTGACAAGACCTCAGTGGTGACCCAATCACATGTAGCTGAGTCTAGATTGAACATGGGTCTCCCAATACTGAACACGGGGCTCTTTCTTCTCATTGTACAATGCCATCTAAGTCTAACTGCACATCTACTAGTCTTTGCTAAGGTCCTAGGTGAGAGAAGGAGCCAGAACAGGGGAGAAGAGGGTCTGTGTCCTTATACTCTAGGGGCTCATGAGAACACAACAAAGCAGAAACAGAAAAAGAACATGAGAGGTCTGAGGGCTGAGGTGGCCAAGGGACAGGAAGAGACTGCAAAGAGCCTGGGGAAAGGTATCCCTCCATTTCCTTTGGCTGATCATGTTGATATGGATCTGTACTCACAACCATCAGCAGCTCATGAGCTTGGCTTAGGTAGGGCTGCAATTTGTGTCCCCATTGTCTTCAGAGCAAAAAGGGGAAGATGGCCTTTGAGACTGCCTCAGAAAGGGCTCTTTAATTTCTCTTGGGCACAGCAGGAATTGAACTTCGGGAAAATGATTGGGGAAACAACCTCAACACCCTACCTTGTCCCTCACCTCGCCCTTTGCCCTATGTTGCACCATCCCACCCTCCAGAAGCCAAAGACGCTGGGTACCTGACCCCTGGCTGTCTCACCACTGCGGTGCCAGGAAGGGGAGTTGGGGTATGGCCAGAAGCGGCTCTCATTAGGTAGCGGAGGGACGGTGGGAGGAGATTCCAGGGGGACGTAGGCTTTGGGGAGGGGTGGCCGAGGTGGGCCAGGTTCCTGAGGCAGAAAGAAGTCAGAGCATTAGGAAGAAGGAGAGCAGCCACTGTGAGAGCAGAAGAAAGAGTTAGCAGGAGTCAGGCATTCTCATCCTTGGAAGCATGCCCTCGGACTGGGCACTACACCCTACCCTGGCCTGGCAGAGCTCCAACTCCACGGGTGGCCCTCTGCCTGGCCTGCAGGCCTTTCTCAACTGAGCCCCTTCTGCCTGCCCCTCCATATGATTCCCCACTTTTCTAACACTCCCTCACCACTGCCTCTCTACCATGCCAGGCATTTCCCTCTCCTGTTTCTTTGCCTCCATCTCTCTAGCCTGTAGGACCACTCCCTTGGACTTCTTCCTATCCAAATGTACCAGCGGTCCCAAAGCTTTATAGAACCATGTGACTCAATTCTGAGACATAGAGCACTGTCTTCTGTGGGCTGTGGCCTGCTATGAACTGGTCCCTGTTGGATGCTAGGCTCTCTGAACGAAGGGCCTATGTGATTATCTTTCAGAGAGCTTCATTCTATCCTTGCCTATTCCATCCCATGAATATGTGCTGACTGACTAGGAAACAGCTCCCCACACTGACCCTCAACCATCTGACCTTGGGACACTCCTGATTTAAATTCCCATAAAGTATAGAGGATCTTTGCTAAACATGTTGGGACTCAAGACTTCCTTGAGGGGCAGCTAAAGGTAACAGGTAAAGATGAGAGTGGGTACAGGGGAAACCCCAAGGGAAAGTCACAAAACTGGTATTAGAATGGTTCCCAGACACCAAGACCCAAAGCACTAGGATGGAGCCTCAGGGGCAAGAGATTGGCAGACTTTGTGTCCTTTCAGGCAGTCAGACTCTGGCCATCCTTCCCCTGCTCATCTTGTACTGTTTCCCTAGCTTACCTCACTGGACCCCAGCTTGGTCGGGGAACCCTGAGAGCCAGACACCATTGAAAAAGGGCTCAGGGGACTGGTAAGGCTGGCAGAGCTGAGAGGGCTGGCAGGGCTGTTGGAGCTATAGGTTGCTGAGGTGCTGAGTCCTCCTGGGGAAACAGAGAGATATGTAAGGCACGGAAAAATGTGTGGCATGATGTGCACATGAGTACCAGGAGGAGAGGAAGTAGGGAGGAACCTATGAGTGCCAGGGTCACAGGCTGGCTGATGAGAGCTACTCTAGGCAGGGACGATGGCAAATGGAGATGACACTGTGGCCCAGAGTGTCAACGAAAGTCAGCCTGAGGCCCTGGACCCAAGGATAGCTCCAAGTAGGGTCACAGGTCACCAGTGGGCCCATGAATGTGAGTTGGCAGGTGTGTTAACAGGAGGTGAGGAATGCTGAAGGCGTTCACCTCTGTGCTTGGCTGTGTCGGTGCCCCGGGACGGGTTGTTCTTCCTCAGCCCCTCCATCACATCTTGGATCCTCCAGATCTCTTTCTGAATTTGACGATTGAGCACCTCATTCTGAAATAGCCACAGAGTGACTCAAAGATGGTGGCTAGGGCCAGTGACCCAGTGCCCCCAGCCTGGACCCCTCTGACCAGGAGGCAGAACTCCCGTGCTCCTGCCCATGCAGCCTTCTCCAGTGCAAACATCTTTCTCATGAGAAGTCTCTGCCTCATTATCTTTTATAAAGTTGTGTCTCCTGAACTGCCAAATCCTCACAAGTAAGAGGGAATGGGGGTCCCCACTGAACTGCCCTGCCACGGGGGAATCAGGGGACATGTCCTGTTTTCTATCCAGCAAGACCTTCCAGTTTCTTGCTTCTCTTCATGTTCACTTCTGAGCAAGGAGACTTAAATGCAGGGTTATCTACTGAGTAAGCTGCATAGCCACTGTCTAAATATGGGTCATTTTGATTTGGAAGCTGGTGCTCTTGACCAGGGCCTCATCCTCCCTCCTAAAATGTGTATGTAATGTGCTGCTGGACCATGGGACATAGTAGTATTTGTGTCCTCTGGGTCCTTACTTCACCCCACCCAACCCAAGGCAGAAGAGGTGAATTTTGTTATTAGGAGGGAAACTGGAAGAAAATGGGGGAGAGCAGGTTGTTAAGTGCATCAGAGTAACAGAGCTTGCAAAAGCAGCTGGAGAAGAGGCAGGACCTGTGCAGAGAGAAGACAGGAAAAAAGCAGAATCTCTAAGATCCTCTTCCCCCTCAAAGCTGCCCGATCTCCACCCAGCTCCGGAAGGGAAGCCTTGTACCTATCTGAAACAGCATAGATGGCCCCTGCACGGCCAGCTTTTCCAGTGCCTTGAGAAGTATTTATATCCACACACCCTGTTTCTAACCTAAGTCCCCTATGAGTTGAGAAGGAACATAGAAGACTCTCGTCATCATCCTAACAGATACCATCTTACAAGTGGCCTGAGATTCTTTTTTTGGTCTCGTTACCAACTCTTGAAGGGAGCCACTTGCTTCTCCTTTTTCAAAAGGATGAAGAAAGGCACAGAACACATCTTCCCCCACCTGCTGGAGTTCCCTTTTCACCTGGATGTCCAAATTGAGCTGCTCCCAGAGGTCATCATGCAGGGCAGAGACCTCAGACTCGAGGTTCTCATACTCCACTGTGCTGGTGGTCAGTGCCTGTAGGGGAGAGGGTTTCTGGGTGTGATAGTTTATCTTCATTGACAACTCAACTGGATTTAGAATCACCATGGAACACACCTCTGGGTATGTCTGTGAAGGTGTTTCTGGGGAGGATTAATTGAAGAGGGAAGATGTGCTCTGAATACAGGTGGCACCATCTCACAGACTAGGTCCAGAATTGAATAAAAAGGGGGAAATGAGCTGAGCACCATCTTCTCTCTGCTTCCTGAGTGTGGATGCAATGTGACCATCTGCTCACACTCCTGCTACTTGCCTTTCCCACCACGATGGGCTGTATCCCTTTGAACTATGAGCCAAAATAAACCCTTTCTTCTTGTAGTTGTTTTGGTCAAGTATTTTGTCACAGAAAAAACTAATATACCAAGGAAGCCACTGTTGCCATCCTTTGCTGCAAAGGGGCCTGGGGTCAGGACACCTAAGGCCAGGGACCAAGGCTAAGGTGCTTTGTTGATGGCCAACATTAGCTGTACCAGAGAGGAAAAAGTATATCCCATGGCACACAGATGTAGAAAGCAGAATCATTTCAGGTGAAAGGGGGAAGGTTTCTATATCCTCCTGTTTTACCCAAGATGGGGCAAGAAGTGAGGGCAAGGAGGAATGTGCCTGGAAAGAGAACAGTGTTGGGGGATCTGCCCCAGTCCACTAGCTTGGCAATGGTAGATCTATCAGTGCTCTACTTCTCCAAGGTAGAGATGGCTTAGAGAAGCCAGGGAATTCAGTAACCTTCAGCTACGCACTGCCACAAAGGAACCCTGATACAGCTATGGCCTGTGGGAAATGAGCTCATTTTTTGGGTGGAGATACCTGGGAATGAGTACGTGGACATACTTGCTATTTGCTTATGGCCCTCACAGCAGAAGCATTCTGCTATCATAGGAGACATCCAGATCAGGGTAGCACAAGAGGGAGGTTGTGGGCCATAGACCCTGCTCCCAGGTTACCGTAGTTGCCTGTGACAGCTCCACCCGGATGTTGATGAGCTGGTTCTGCAGCGATTCCTTCTTGTGCAGCAGCTTCTCTGGGTAGGCAGGCTGGCTTCCAAACATCTCCAGCTCCTGGTGGGTTCCCATCAAGGCACTTTCCAGGCTTTCCTGAAAAAAGGCAGTGGGAAGGGTGGCATGAGCTGTCCAGTGGCTCTCTCTGGGGTTTTTAACAGCAGATGCCAGAGGCCCTAGCAGTTCAATCAGGTAGCTCAGCAGAGGTTGTCCTCATATTGCTACTGTCCCTTGGGAGATACTCAGCTATTCTGAGTAAAGGTGGGTCATAGTTCTAGGAAGACAAAGCTTCACTAGCTATGTAAGGATAGAGACAGCATCACACCTTATCCACACCAGCCCCACCTCCAGAACACCCTAGGCTCTTACCTTCTCCGCTCGGAGTTGCTGCACCAGCCGGTCCTGCTCCCTCACCACCTTGTTCTGCTCACATAGCTTTCCCAGCAGCTTCTGGGGGCCCAGAGGGCAGAGGAGAGGGAGAAAGAGGGGGATAAAGGACATGATTTGATGGGGACCTGGGACTTGGATTGGCAGGGCATGACCTCTGGATACCAACACTTTCCCCTGCCGAGGAACCTTAGGCCTTCATCTTGACCGTGGAGGCTCTGGGGAAGAACACGATGGGTCTCCATCTTAGGAAATGAGATGTGATAATTCTTTGAACAAGTGGAAGGGGCTAAGAGTCAAGTGCATCCTGTATCCCCATCCTCCTGTAGGGGCAAAATTCCCAGAGGGCTGAGAAGACAGTGTGGCCTCACCTTCTTGGCTGGGGAAGGGGGCAGGCAGGGTATGGGAACAGTTTTAGAAGAAGCAATGCAATGTGTACCGGCCCTGAGCTCAGCTCCACAGGATGCCCTCTTCTCTCTTGCCCCCAAACTCCAATCTCCTTCCAAAGCCTCAGAACAGCTTGACCAGAGCCCTTTTTAGCTCTGGTCTTTGTCTGGATAGACACCCCCTCACAGGCCTGTAGCACAGATCCACTGCCCAAGCAGGGTCAGTGGTGATGAAGAGGCGGCAGGCAGAGCCAACTGTCTCTTCTGGAGGGTCATGTTTTCCATGTCCACATCTCTACTCGTGCCTTCTTCACCATCTTTTCCACTGAGCCCAATCTTGCCCTCTGGGGCTTTAAACTTCAAGGCCTTTCTCATAGGTTACCCCCTTTGTCCCTGAACTACTCATTGTAGTTACCAGCTAACACCAGGCCAGGCACTGACTGATTTACTGCTAACAAAGTCTGCAGCATCCCTGCCACTGCTATAGACGTGGGCCTGCAGCTCAGCATAAAAGACAGAGCCAGAGTGGGAGGTAAGGGTGAGAGTAAGGCCAAGAAAAGAAGGGGGAGAAGGAGGAAGCAGGTGGAATGCTGTGTTCGTGATGGTGGTGGTGACAGGACATGGGCAAAATGTCTGAAGGGTCGGGGGGTTGGAGAAAAGCCTCCACAGGAGAAAGCAAGGATTTAGAGGACAGCATGAGGAGGCTGCCATGGACAGAGGGAGCAGGGAGAGCTGCCCTTACATCCGTATCTTGCTCGTTTAGCTTGAAGGTGTGGAGGCCATCCCGGAACACCTCTGGGTATGCAGGGACCTGCAGGAATATGAGGTTGGTTACTGCAGCAGGGGCAGGTGATGGTGGGTGGATGAGGAAGCTGGTATTACAATCCTGCTTCATTTCTGCCAGGACCATTGCCCATCACCTATGGTACTTCTGTGCCAGGAGCCTGAGCTATTTCTACATCCCCTGGCTGTAGAGTCTGTGATAGCACCATCTAGACTCCATCCTGATGGTCCTCAGCTGATTCTGGAAAGGTTACAACTCTCCTGGCCTCATCACCTGCATCTCCTTTCTCTTACCGAAGGGCCTGCTGGAGGGCAGAGCTCCCCAGTTGAAACAACCATGAGACCACCAGTAATTCCCAGGCAGTTTGTGGGGACAGAGCATGGGCGTATGGCAGGAATGAGTGCCAGAAACCCTGGAGAACTGCTGCCCAAGTAGACTGAGACTAATCACAGGGCCTTCACCTAAAACAGGACTGCCAAGAATCCAAATGTATCTTGGGTCCAGCTAACACTACCTTGCATTAACAACACAGTGGTGAGCATAACATAGATTACACATCTTTGGCACTGGATGGTTATGCTGCCTCTTATGCCCCAACCCAAATAACATCTGTCAAGAATTCAGCAAATATGAACTGGGCATCATGGGCATTCAAAAAGCAGGTTTGCAATCCTCAGCGTGCATGAGATGTTGCTGCTGACTGCTGTGATGGTGGGGAAATGGGCCTTGGGTTTACCCATGAACATGAAGAATGGAGATGGAGTTAGGGAGGAAGACCAGGCAGAACCTGTTAAAGGGAGATGAGGCCTGGCAGATGAGCAGACTGGGTGCAATGGGTTTCATCCCAGACAGGGTGACCTGACCATGCAACAAGCGGCTGAGGTGGCATTGACAGGGACATGCTGGCAGGCAGAGGCCTTACTTGCATGAAGAGTTGGGCCCTGGGGGAGGAGTTCTCCACCATGCGGTTCACCATACTGATGAGAGTCTCACTCTCACTCATCTGCAGCGGAGGAAGGAATGTAGAATTCACTCAGCCCTGGGTATGGGTATCTCCCCACACACCCCTGTGGTTGTTCGCAGGAAAGAGGGAAGGGCAGCTGCTCTTGGGGCTTCCAGCACCTTGTGCTTGACTTCACCATTGTTCATCCTGTGAACTTTTCCAGGACCAGCACTGACAGGTGCTGCCTTAGTAGAAAGGCCACAGCAGGGTCCCAGGAAGCCACTTGACCCTCACCAACAGTATAGAAAGAGTCAAGGTCCAGGGACTCTGCCACAGGGTGTCGACCACACAGGCCAGGCTGTTCTCTCCTTCCCATTTCTGATTTGGATGAAGACCACAGAGTTGGAAAGGCCAGGCTCCCCCAATTCACTCAAAACTGAACTAAAACAGCAAACCTGGGACCTGATCTCAGCGTAGCCTTTTCAAATGAATAGGCACACCCCTTCCCTCCCCTGGCTGTCCCATAGGATCACTAAGCACAGTTCCAGAGCTGGGCTGGCAGCATCCATGAGGATCTGGGATGGCACTGGGAAGCAAACAAGTAGGCCAAGACAAGTGAGCCGTGTTAAAGGGACACCAGATGTTGGAGCACTGCTCTCTACTAGGTCATCTTTGTATTTCAAGGATCACAGGAAAGTAGAGGGAGAAATGAAAGGAGGAGGGAAGGAGGGAAGGAAAAGGGAAGGCAGGCCAACTAGATCAATCAGATATGCCCTCATTTTGCCATTGGCTCCGGTGAGAGAGGATCAAAAGTGAACCTGTCAAGAAATGTACTTGGTTGTGTCCCTTTAACTCCATGTTCCACAGCAGATGATGAGAGAAGGCAGAAGGGAGGTGTGTAGGAAAGGCTTTTGGAAGGGAAAGTAACTGAGGAAAGGACAGAGCCACATTAGGGATGATCTGTGGTCAGAGTTTTATCCAGTCTCCCAACCTTGGTTGGACCTGCTGTCTTTTCTTCCTCTTACCCTTTTGGGGCAACAACCCAAACATAGCTCTGTTTCTGCATGCTGTGGACAGGACAGGACCCAGGGCCCTCATTTCAGGATCTTCAGCATTTTAAAAGACTTTCAACATCTAATTTTTCTACTTCTTTAAGTCCACCTGGAGTTCTTCCTGTGGTATAAAGTATGATGTAAAAGGCTTTTCAAGAATGCTTATAAAATGAGTCTGAATATGAGTTATAAAACCAACAGGATGGTAACTACGTTTTCACTAAAGATCCAAAGTCATTCCAGTCTCTGCCTTCCTAGAGAGTGTGCATGTCTGTGTGTGCACATGTGTGTGAGTCTATAGAGGACAAGAGAAGACTAGGCTCTTCCTGGGTACCTACTGACCTCATTTTTTTCCCACAAGGGAGAAGCAACAAAGGCAGGCAGCATCCTGTACCTGTGCCAAACTTTGGGGATACTGCAGCTCACGTAGGCCTCTATTCTAGGGGGATCCTGTGTGCTACCTCTAATTTTCTGAACTGCTAGGGAGATTCTGTGAGAAAAAACCTGACCCAATACCTGATACATAGTATATGGTGTTCTGTGGATATTTTTTTTCTTTTTTGAGGTTTAGAAGAACAATAAAATAATAGTGGCATTCACTACTTTTCACCAATGGAGCTTCATAGAGAGCTCCCATGTGCTTTCCCATCTGATTCTCCCAGTACCTCTATGAGGTAGAATAGCAGGCTCTACCCTGTCTGAAAACATAGAACCAGGGAGATGCTTCCCCAGCGCTGCCCAGCATGGCATCGTCTGGCTGTGTCTGTCCCCTCATCACACAGGACTGCCTCTTAAGGATGTTAGCTTACAGGCAGGAGGGCCCTCCAGAAGGTGAGTTCTGAAGACCCTAGCCTCGCAGCCCAGCCCCCCTGCAAGGACAGATGCTCCAAATACTTGGATAGTCAGGCACTAAGGACAGGGCAGAGAGTCAGCCACAAGAAGACTTAGAAGACAGCCTGCTCGGGAAGCTAGAGGCCTGAGTCCTTCCTACTCGAAGATACCACAGATCTTGCTTCCCTCTGGGAGGATCCAGGGCTTCCAAGCCATGCTCTGAGTGGGCATCTTGGGACTTGTCCCCACATGGCCCAGAATGTGTATGGCATGAATATAACATGGATTTTGGAATAAGAATGTGAGGCTTTGAGGACCAGGAGCCCCTGCTGACTAAACTGTGGTTATTAGAGCTTCCCAGTACCCAAGGTCCTTTGTAAGGATGACCTCATCATAACAGAGACACCCCATGAGATGATCTGCTCCTGGAAGAACACAGAATCATAGCTGTTAATAGAGTAATATCAAAGTCATGATTCTGCCTGCAAGTTTAAGAGCATGGACTCATCCTGATCAGATTCGACCCCAGGTTTGCCACCTCTCAGATTCCCACCTATAAACTGGGTCAAAACCCAAGCTCCATTACTCACTGGCTGTATCCTTACTATGTTATTTAATCTCTCTGTGTTTTATTTCCTTGGCTATAAAATGGAAATAATAACAATACCCATCTTGTAGAATTATTAGAAAGATTAAATGAGTTGGGATCTATTCTGCTTAGTCTAGTATGGGGTATGAAGGAAACACCAAATAATGGTGGTTGCTGCCATTATTATTAATTAATCCTATCATCTCTACCACTCTAGGCTGGCTCCATAGGATGATGCTGTGGACTTTCAGATCCTCTGTGGTTAGTAATATACATCTGAGCATAAGAGTGTATGCTCAAAGAATTGCCCAGATTGACCTACAACCTGTTCAGACCTAGTCCTTTTAGATAGCCCTGTTTGGACTCAAAAGGCATGGGAGATCAGGGCAGGAGAGCCTGAAATAGGAGCCAGGCAGTCAGCAACTTGTGTCTTACTGCTCACCAGCCAGACTGACTTGATATTATTACCTCTGTCAACCACGCTCAGTTCTCAGGACCACGAGCTATGTGTGCAAAAGAGCTTTGTTGAAAAGCTGTCAAATATATTGATATCATTTTCTAAGTCCTTCTAGGGCAGGTCTGTATGTCTCAGTCACAACTTATAGAGCTTAACAATGACCAATGGAATATAACATGATTTTCCAGATTTGGCCTTAACTAAATCCCTGACATTTTAGGACCAAACCCTGAGCTAGCCTACTTGTCTCTACATTTTCAGCAAAACTGCAAATCCCTGCTTGCCCCTCAGGGCAGTTCCATCTGGGCTAAGCACTGGAGAATATGAGGTAGCCTTAATTATGCATGTGCCTATTAATATGCTTCTTTCCTGTGGAAGCCCCCAACTGCCCTAAAGGGATTTGAAGGGAGAGGGGGTGAGAGAGCAAACCAAAAACACAAGCCACTTTGTTGTGTCCTGATGACACCAACAAAGGCTGTCAAATGGTTGGAAGATGTGGGGGTGGGGAGGAATAGGGAGACAGGACAGAAGACAGTGGGATGGTGAGGGGCACCAGCTCTGCCTACCTGCTGGTCCAAATACTCTAGGTTTCTTTGCAACTGAAGATCTAAAAGTTCATCCTACCCGGAGCCCGAGGCCAAAGGGCCAACCAGCAACACAAACAAACAGGAACACACAAAAGAAAATAAAAAAAGAAGCAAAGCAGTTAAGAGTTAGCTAGGCATGGATGAGGAAAAGTCTCTGTCTTGTCCTTTAAGTAGTTCTGGGGGAAAGAGGGGACAAGACCACAGGCAGGTGGAGGAGAATGAGGGACACACTCTTTCCTGTCTGTCACCTCTCCTAGGTCTGCCCCACCCCCTTACAAATCTCATCAGCAGCTGTTTCTGACTTTTCTGGAATAGGCTGTTTCTGAAGAGGTACGTGGATATGGAGTCTGAACACTGGCAGAGTGAGAATCACTGTGTGTCGGAGTGGGGGGCGGTAATGGCTGTCCTCACATCTACATGACCTTTTCCACCCTGGCTTCCTGTGCAGGACAGAGGTTCTGTTAGGTGCAGCTCTCCCCAACCCATCCAGGAGTGTCTGCACCTAATTCTCTAGGTGAAGGCAAATTTCTCAAGGAAACACATTCCAAGAAGAGACACCAGTAGGAAAGGGAGAGCAAAGGGAGCAGACACTGTGGAAAACCTTTTCTTCCTCGACCACATCCCTGCCCCTTTCCCAGTAAGTGGCATTCCAAACAAAGGGCGAGACTGAGGAGGACATCCAAATACTCTGATGTAGGAGTCCAGATGCTTTGGCTGAGGAGTCCAGGCCTGACTCTGCATCCAGCTGGTGCTCCTAACCTGGTCCTAGACCTTCCAGCTGCATACAGGGGAGGAGAGCTGTGCTGAAGTGGGGAGGAGCCAGAGAGCACATGTTCTCTGCTCTGTGCTACAGGGAAGGGGTAAGTGGTGAGAAACTCTGTAATGGGGCTTGAGTCCTGACAGGGAAGCAGGAGGTGTCCAGAGACTGCTAAAAACACATGGGTCAGGTACTAGGCTCAGGACATCCCTGGCACCTGCCCCAGTTCAGCTCCACCTTGGGTGGCTCCTATAAGAAGAAGAGGTCCTGAGGTGGAGTGGAAGGGAGGAGAGGACGTACCATCTTATCGTGGACCGTGGGGGATGGTGGGTAGTTGTAGGGGAACAGTCCTGCAGGGACTGGCCGCCTGTCTCCCAGGTAATCATACTGGAAGAGAAAGGGGATTGCAGAGGTAAGAGGGTCTGGTTGGGACACAGACTTCCCTACCAATTGAAATTCAAGGTTAGGAATGTCTGTATTCTGACCCAGAGGAGATTTTCAACTAAAATTCACAGCAGCCCCTTCATAATAACCTGTCTGAGTTCTCAAGATTGGAAAAGACAGACTTCCTCTGCCCTCTTATACACAGCACAGTTTCCAGCACAACCTGGGAATGGGCACAGTGGGCAAGGTTCCTATTCAGACACCCCCAAGGAAGGCCCTTAGGGTTGGTGCAAGAGGCCAGGCTCCTCAGAGCAGGTTCCTGGTCATAGGGCACAGCCTAGGGGTCCACATCCCAGATATCCCAGTATCTCTGCTTCTTCTAGCACATGGTTTCAGGGGATAAGGAGGGAAGGGCAGCTAGTAGCTCACCTTGGGGGAGCTGATGGAACGCCTCATCACATAAGCAGCAGGGTCGGCATAGATGTCCTCACTGCGAGGTGGCAGCCGATCAAAACGGGCACTGGGTGAGCGCACAGGGGAGTAGATGCGGGCACGACTGTAGGAGCCCTGGCTGGGCGAGCGGGGCACAGAGTGCGAACGGGGTTGCAAGGACAGGCGACGCAAGGAGCCTGAAGCAGCATCCAGCTCATCGTAATAGACTGGCTGCCGGGAGGGGCTGGGGATCCAGACAGTGCCATCCTGCCTCCCATAACTGGTGGGGTCCTTCCATTCACGAAGCTGGTAGGTAGGACCACCCCCATTACGGAAGGAGTGGCGCTTGTCCTCCACGGCCCAGGGTGGACTAATCCGATCATAAGCTGGCATAGAACAAATGCTGTCTGGCCGCACCCCTGGTGGATAGTACTGGTAATCATCGGGGTACTGGGAGGAGTAGGGGCTGTAATACTCAGGGACCCTGCGAGACACAGGGTAGAACCTAGAAGGACTGAGAGAGAAGACATTATAAGAAAAGCAGACAAAATGTCTACCCACACACTGGTGGCCGAGTCCATGCCCAGTCCTCCAGGTCAGAACTGGTGCTTGAACAAGTGATTGGTGCCCCAGGGCATTCAGTGGGCACACAGTGAATACCACTACCCAGGTAGGGGGCCTAGGCTTATTCTAGGCACGAGGGAAAGTCCCATCCCCAACCAGCTCCATGGAACTGAAGACTGAACCAGTCAGAGTTAAATCTGTGTTTCTTTAAAATCACCATCTGAGTATGAACCAATTTACCAGGTCCTTTTCAAAACAGGTAGTGGAAGAAAATATCCAAGTGTACCAAACACTTGAAGGATGAAAGAAAGAGTGGCTTCCTGGTCCTATGGTCTTGATAAGACAGAACCAGTAGGTTCCTGGGACTCACACCCAGAGAGGCCAATGGCTAGAGCTGGACTTCCGGCAGCGAGACATTAGCCAGCTAGAGGGCAGTCTTCTCTAGGATTTAGGGGCCCTCCTGAGGCTATACCCACAATCCCCAGAGTTGCCCACATCTTCAGCTCATTTACCCTGACAAACATGATAGCCTCAATAAGTGTTACCAAATATTTGAAAACCAGTCATCAGCTAAATCTCTGAAGCAAACTGGTCATCAAGGACAACTGAGGTGCCTTTGTTTTCTTTAAAAAAAAAAAAAAAAGCAACTTCCTATAAACAGTAGCTTTCAAACAATAGGGCAAATTAAAAACTGACAAGTTGGTTGGTGACCAGTGAGTCTTGTGTGGGTGGAAGCACTGGATGGGCATGTTTTAGGATTCGCAGCATGGATGGATGTTTGATCAGAACAAAGTCAAGGCCCCTTTACATACCTGCCTGATTCCTGCCTACCCAACACCCTGGGAGGTGGCAACAGAGCAGTGTACCCCTCTATTTCTTTGTTTTTAAATTTTTATTTATTTATATTTTATGTGGATTAGCGTTTTTGTGTTTTAAGTGTACCCTTGTTGTGCAATGCCCAAAGAGGCCAAAAGAGGGCATTGGATCCCCTGGAACTGGAGTTATAGATGATTGTTAGCCATCATATGGGTAATGGGAACTGAACCCAAGTCCTCCTACAAGAGCAGTCAGTGCTCTTAACCACCAAGTAATCTCTCCAGCCCCTCTTTTCTTTTTTATCTTTTTTGAGACAGGGTCTCATGTAGCTCAGGCTACCCTTCTACTTACTATGTAGCTGAGGATAATCTTAGAACTCCTAATCTTCCTACTTCTGCCTCCTAAGTGCTGGAATTACAGGCATATGTCACCACACCCAGGTCTGTCTTTTCTTTTGAAGGGAGCAGAGAAGCAAGAGGCAGAGGCAGTGGTCAGACTGAAGATGGAGCCACTGAGCTACAAAGGATTCCAACAAGCTGAGAATCAGGGACCATCTTGGCTTCCCAGCCTAGTCAGCTTCCAGAAGGTTCCCAGTAAACAGATGTTTCATAAGTGACTTCCCCTTCCTATGTTCTAGTCATCACATGCCACCAGGACACTCACCTCCGAAGATCTTCGGGTGGGGGCATTCCCCGGCGCAGATTCACCCACTGCTGAAGTTGGTTCATGGAGCTTTTCCGCTGGGCAATTTTGTCATGGTCAGAACGTGGTGGAAAGCTCCGCCGGTGTCCCCCACTGTCCCCATTCTGTGGTGGGAAAGCAGTGCTCCCTGGTCGGCTTGGGGAGCTGTACTGCCAGCCATTGGGCTGGGTGGGCTGCTCCCTGCCACCTGGGACCCTCGGGCCATCAGGGTAAGGGCTGCCAGGTGCTGAGGCTGGCTCAGGTCCAGATGGGAGACCGTTGGCTTTCACCAGAGGCTCTTTCTTAACTTCAGACCTCTCAGGTCTCCGCTCGGCCTTCTCACAACCTCTGCCATCCCCCTCACCCCGAGTCTTGGCTTCGGGCTCTGGCTTGGTGAGGCTATTGTGGGGTGGCTGCTGCTGATGTTTGCTCGGTGGGATGTTCTCTGAGTCTGGCTTCTCGTGGCTGCAGGATGCCAAGATAGATGCCATCAGTGGCACTGGCCCAGCGTGGGGGGGGCAGGGGAGCAGGTTGGGAAGAGAAAAGAAGTGGAGAGGAAGAGGCAGGAAGGGAGTGATGGAACCAGGACACAGTGATGCGCAGTTCTGCTTCCTAAATCCCAGGCTTTACTTGGTTGCTGGGCAATGATTAGATAATGTCTAATAGCTCTCCTGTGCACACTGTGCTTGTTCTGCCCTCCAGGCAACTCTCCACTCCCTTCTGCTACCAGTGTGAAGCCCAGCCTTCAGCTGTGGCCACAACTAACCCCTGTCTCCCTAGTTTAGTCTTCTCTGTTATCTGTCTGCAATCCAGCCCCACAGATCTGACTAGTACTATACCCCACCGTCACAACAGTAACTTCTTAAACACATTGGCTTACTACAGTTCTATCCTGTCTCCTATAGAAAGCTACTTGACTTCTGTGAGTCTTGGGGACTCCTCACTGGCAGAATAGGTATACCATCTTCTCTCAGAAGGCTGCTGGGGCAGGTGAACAGGACAGTTCCCTTCTCTAAAACAGTTTTTCCAGGTCTGACTTCCTTAGAATGTGAGCTCCATAAGGGCAGGAACATGGCAGAATTTCTTTCCTGTGTTCTTAGTACCTGGTATGGGATTTAGTTGTGTCTATTTAGTTGTGTCTATAGTAAATACCTGTCAAACAAATGAACAAACTTCTGGAAGTACACAAGGATGGAACCTTGTGTTCCATCCACCGCTGGGTAAACGTTTCTAAGATGCATGGCTAGACCTAGACTACACTGTAAGGTCACTTCTTCTGGATCCTAGTTAACATTTAAATGAAGGCTTCATACCCAGACCCAGGTAAAGGAGAGACGGGCACTGAGGTCGTGGGTGATGATGGGTGCTAAGAGTGCCACATGCTGAGCCATGCTACACATCAAGACTTCATGCATGCTCTCTGCACTTCTCACAGTCATCTAGAGGAGGATTATAATGGCTGGATTTGAGAAAAAGGAAACTCAGATTCTGAGAAGTTAAGTCATTCACCTTGAGGTGCCAGTAACTAAGTGGCTAACCTGTGATTCAAACCTGATTCCTTCCTGATCCTCCAAAGGTTGTGTGCTTAATACATCCTGGAACAATGAGCAAATGACCCTCACCTTTGGCTCCTGGCCAAGCTTTGATGGAGCTGTCTGTGGACTCCTCCAGGTCAGAAAGAGGAGGAGGAACAGGTCAGGGGAAGAGAAATTCAGGATCTGCAACCTTTTAGCCCAGCCTTCTGTGTGGATGCAGGAGATGGTCCCTATTCCCTCCAGAGGTTCAAGCCCACACACCGGGCCCAGCAACGTCACAGAGCTGGGCACTTTTAGAATGCTCCCCCTTTTCATCTTCTTATTCCTGCACCAGGTACCCTGGTACTCACCTGTGTCGCACAGGTTGGGGCACTGACTTCTGGGCTGGAGGGATCTGTACCCGGGCAGCCTCTCCCATGGCCTGGATCCAGGCCTCCTGTTCTTCGGGGCTCTCAGCACTGAAGAAGTAGGTGCGGACTCCAGCATGCTCAGCCTGTGGGGAGAGGCAGTGCGTAGAACTGGCCCCTGCTTCATCTACCCAGAACACAATCACCTGCAGGGAAAGGACACCACAGGAGGAGCAGTCAGTGGGGCCATTCAGAGCCCTCAGCTCTTCCCTAGAAGGAGCTCAAGAGCTAGGCAAGGAGGGTGCCCCACGGTTACCTCACAGGCATCTGCCTGGGCTATGTCTCTGAACACTACCAGAGAGCCTACCTCCCCTGCTGAGGGGATTGTAAGTAGAAAGGACAATTACCACAACTTCACTCCCCTCCAATTCCACCTTAGTTGCAAGGCAAGTACACCGGGGCCGAGGAGATGAGCCCTCTATAGGTCCATCTCAGGTCTAACTGCTGAGAAGCTGGCCCTATCCCTTCCATGGCATGCAGGGTAAGCACTGGTAACAGAGCACACTACCTAGTTGGTGGCTGTGAACAGGCACAGCAGGCGGGAACCCAGAAGAGAGCTCCTGTCCAGAGGAAGGGGTCCTCATGCGGCCAGAAGGAGAGGCAGAGACAGGTCAACCGACACAAGAGGGAGAGACAGAGGAGGAGGCAGGAAACAGTTAGGAGCACAGGAAGGGTAGTACAGGTTGTCCCCTTCTACTCTGTCACCACCCAGAAGACAGCACCCAGCAGTGCCCAGCTCAGCCCACCAAAACATGGAGCAAGAAGTGTATGCACTATGGGAATCAGAGCTGTGGTGGGCAGTGGGTCAGGGAGCCCCAGTGTTAATGCCAGCTCTTCTGCTAGCAAACAAGTTGCTGTTTTGCTCCAGCTTAACTGATAAATCAATGAAAGTGGGAGGTCAGGGGTGGGGGGAAATCTGCCTTGTGAAACTCAAGGTTCTTAGGACACAAGGAAAAGAGGCCACAGGACTAGCTAGATTCCTTCTAGGCCTCAGTGTACTCCCCAAGTGACAACCCTTAATCTCTCAAACAAGGCAGTCAAGTTTATGTCACCTAACAGGAGGGCACTACCAAATGTGATTAGGACTCTCAGAGATGAGTCTCATTCTAGCCTTGACCCCCTTGAATGCAAACCCATTGGTTGCTGGGGCTGAAGGAGAAAGGCCTGACCCTCCAGCTAAGCCTATGTCTCTCCCAAGCATCAAAGCCAAGCTCATACCTTTCCAGTGTTTCCTGGCCCAGCCTTCAGGAGACTTCCTTGACTGTGGCTCACTTTTATTTCTACCTCTATCTTGCCCTAGCCCTGATAGTCTTTGGAACTGGAACCTTCACCTTGGCATCAAGGGACATATGTTTACTTCTTTTGGCTAGACCCCATCCTTCAGCAGGAGACAGAGCTGTGAATGGGACTGTGCTGATGAACAGCAGGAGTGCTATAGGGAGGGCAAAGGGGCCACTGGGACTTGAAACAGCAGTGCCCAGGGCCTGGGAGAGCCCTCTGGGATGAGAATACAGGGTTAGTGTGGTGGCACAAGGGACACAGGAGAAGCTACTAGCATGATCATGTGGGAGTGGGCAGCAAATGAATTTGTTCATTCCACGAGCCACCTGTATGTGTAGCTGTTTGACTGGGGACCAGTCACGAGGAAGGTAAAGACTGTACTTGAACACAGTCACAATGGGGACAAAACATGCCACAGGGAACAAGGAGCAAACAGACCCAGGAACAAATGTTTGTGACAGGAGAAGGCAGAGGGCCTGGGAAAAGACAGGGCTATTGATGGAGCAGAGGGAGGGACATCAGCTTCTAATATGAAAGGGGCCAGAGAACTGAGGGAGAGGGTAGAAGAGGCTAAGGCATTCAACCGTAGCCAGGCAGGGACAGTTCCTGGCTCCTCATTATTTGCCATCCAAGAGTTGTGTTTGGTAGCCACAGCAGGACAAGCCTGATATCTGTCTGTCTCAGCTCCCCTCCCTTCCCTGGGGATGGGCCACTGAATAGCGCCAGTCAGATCCTTTTGTAGGCCACTGAGCATAGCCCTTACACAGGGGCCTTAAAGAGGCAGTGCATGCCTTGGGGGAGAGGATGGCGAAAGGGAATGGTTGGCACAGGAGTGATAGCTCTGCAGAGGATGCGTATCAGTCACTCTGGGACATTTATCTGATGTCTGCAGCTGGCACAGCTCCAACCTAGAGTGTGTGGCTCTGTCAGGTCTGATATGGAGGGTGAGACAGGCTATAGATTGTGTGTGGGTGTGAATGTGTATGTGTAGCAGGACTGTTTGTTGGTTAAACAGCCTGTTCCTATTTCCCCAGTTAGACCCCATCTCCCTGGAGTCAGAGTTTTATTAATTGTTCATTCTGTTCACACCTCTGGCACATGAGACCCTAGGAGGCTGGAAACTATGTGCCAAATAGGTCCCTTCTTGCTCCTTGGCAGGACCTATGTGTTCTGTCTACCTCTTTTACTAGAAGCTGTAGGGAAGAAAGGGCCCTGGGAGCCCAAGTATTGACCTGGTGTGACCTGCAGTTCCTGTCACCTAATGCCATGGCTTTGAGTTAAAGGGTCTTGGACAGTAACTTTCAATTAGAGGAGAAGGGGCTTTGTAATAAGACATGCAGAGTTAATATTATAATTTCATATTTGGAAAAGAAAAGGAGCCAAGTGCTTTTTGGATCACAAAACACAAAGGGCATAGGATTTTTATAGTTTTTAGTGGGTCATGAATTTTTAAATGTGGAAAAACACTGTCCTAGGATGAGCCAGATGCAGGCACAGCTTTGCTGAGTAGATCCCCCAGGGGTTCTGAGGGAGTGACACTGAGCAGGAAGCAAGTCCCATTTTTCTGTGCTCTTGTTCTCTCAAAGTGTTGCCTACATGGTTGGGGGTGCACCTCCATTGCTGTCTATATGGCACCTCCTGGTAAAGCCCTTGCCCAGCAAGACCCTGGCTTCCATCCTCAGCACCACAGGGTGAAAAACTTTGTCTACATAAACAAAATTCAACTCATAATATTCTCTAAAGATTAAAATTTTGAGTAAGTTTGGCTTGGGGGTGGGGGAGGTTCTTGGGCCCAAGGTAAGGAGGAAGAAGACCAGAGAAGATCTCAGAATTTCACCCACAATAGCTCTGCTCCCTAGAGGGTTAGGGCAGGCTGCTAGGTAGATAATCCAAAGGGCTCAGGACACGATTTCTTCCCTGATAAAAACTGGCACCCCTGAGGCATACCCCTACTGGCCCATCAGTGACCTTTACCCACGGGGCCCCAGAGAGAAGAGGGCATTACAGCATGGCCTTGCTTTGCCTCACAGTGAATCAGACGAATCTAGAGGCCGCCACCTGCCACTACACTGGGGCTTCCTAAGGGAGAGATTCTTGATCCTGCTGTAGCCCCCTGTGAAGAGCAAGCTCTCTCCCTTCTCCATCCAGAAGAAGAAGCCCAGCTGACCTTAAACGTGTGTTTCCGGCTGATGTTGTCTGAGGGCTGCACAGCTGCAACCCGGAAGCTCAATAAGGGGATGCTGCCCAGGATGCTCTCCTCCTTCTCGTCTGTCAGGGAAACAGAAGCACAGAGTGTGTGTGTGTGTGTGTGTGTGTGTGTGTGTGTGTGTGTGTGTGCGTGCATGCCTGTGTGGGGGAGTGAATGGTGAGCAGCTCTTCAGCCCGACCAGGGTAAGTATCAGTGACTACACCACGCCTGCCTACTACTTGTCAGGCACCAGGATTAGCACACATACTCCAGGAAGCACTCTTTGGAATTGGGGTTAGGAGTGCACTGTGGACACCGTTCCAGATGATTCACTACAGTGCTGAAAGACAGTGCTACCCACCCTCAGAGGGTTTGCATTCTAATGCACAGATAAGGCAATGACCGCCAACATTTTTGGAGTGTTCGCTTTGTTATCAGGCCTGTTCAGTATCTTACTAGACCACCCCACGAAGAAGCTCTACTATTACCCCCATTGTCAGCATAAAAGCTAAGTAAGTTGTCCAGGTTCCTTAAGTCTTAAGTATTAGAATCTGTCTTAAAAAGCGGGGAGCCTGACTCTAAAGCTAGCATCCTTGACCCCTGTCCTATCCGTCCTGTATTGATAAGCAGGGAAATTCCAACAGCAATACACAGAGCAGGGGGCAGGCCTTCCTTTTGCTCTCTGGCCCCTTTAGGTAATGCTTTGGGTGTTGTCGTTTTGAGACAGGGTCTTACTCTGTAGTCTAGGCTGACTTGGAATTCACTATATAGCCCAGGCTGGCCTTAAACTCATGATTCCCCTGCATCAGAATCCCTGGTCCTAGGATTACAGTTTTAAGTCACCACCACTGACTTGAGGGTAACTCTAAGGTTCTCCCAGCCTCCAGAAGCCTGATTTGCCCTTCCCTGCTGCAGACTACCCTCCACAGGAGAGCATGCTGCTAGCCTGGATCCTAGGTTTGAGCTACCATGTAATTCATCCCAGATTTGCAAAGAAAGGGTCCTGGCTATCAGCAGGGTGCCAGAAAGAGTGAGAGCATTCTGTAGGGGATGACTGTGAGGCTGTGGCTTCCTTCCTTCCACTCTTCCCTGGTGTTTCTACTTGTTCCCTAGGCAGTAACCCCGAAAACTCTTCAGGTAGATTCGGAAGAAACCACTGTAAACTCTGAGGTCTGCTTCTCTGATCACATTCTTGAGACATTTGGTTTGGCCTGCCCTTTCATAGGAAGAGGTAAGCCAGAGTAAGGACTCAGGGCTGTCTCTTGGGGAAACAGGTTGTCATTGTCCAGATGGCAAAGTGTGGGTCAGTGTTCAGATGATGCTATGGTTAGGGTGTGGTCAGTCCTAGTCCTCACTCATGTTGAAATTTGATTCCCACCTGACAGTGCTGAGAGGTCGGTCTTTAAGGAGGTATGCCCATCTGAGAGCAGGCTCCTCCTCCAGAACAGGGCATTGCAAAGCAAAGCTGCCCTTCTGTTTTGTTTTTCCCACATGCCTCTGCTTGTCCTTCTACTTTCTACCATGAGTTGAAACAGCAAGAGTTCCCCACCTCCACACGCAACCCCCCTGCTCCTGAACCAAGAGCTAAACAGACACTACCCGCAAGCTCTCAGAAGACCTCCAGGCCTCTAGATTCAAGGGCCAAAATAAACCCCTCCCCTTTACCAAATACAGAAAATGGACTAAGATGGGGGTACACCATGAGCCCTCTTTGGTATGTTTTGCTCTTCTCTTCAGAGACCCTGGCTCTGCCCTAGGTCCTGCCCCACACGGGTTCCAGGGCTCAGCACTTGGGGCCTGGGCCAGGGCAGATTCTTCTGCCCCAGTTTTGAACTTTCCTCTGTGCCTGATCCTAGTATCTACAGCCCCTGCCTGGATACAACTCAGGAACAGTAGCTCCAAAGCAGAGGAACAATGGGTACAACCTGTGTTTGTCAGCATTAATGATTCACCACACTGGTCTCAGGAGGCCCAAGGAAACATGGGCGTCACCATTCCAGGGTAAGGAAGTAAGCAAACAGGCTCTCTTGCTCGGAGATCATTTCACTCTCTTCCTGCTCATCTCCCTGTCCATCTCCTCCCACTACAGCAGCCTCCTACAAAGCCTCTATTACTGTCATCCCTCTGTATCTGCACTGACACATGTTGCTATATATGCTTTGAAACAACTTCTTAGAGGAGCTAATCAGATCTTTGCCCTCCTGTTTTGGGGGGCAGCAAAGAGAGTAGAAGCTGGGGGCTATTTATTTATTCAACATGGACTGAATATCTTTCCTGTGTGTCCTGCACAGCTTTTAGTGCTATGGACTCCACAGTAAACAAAATGGTAAAAACTCTTATAGATCAGATCACACAGTCTACTAGGCCAGGAGGAAGACCAATATCAATCACAATCAGGTGACCTACAAGCAGTAACTACTGACTTTCTTCTCTTTGTCCTTTTCTTCCCCCTACCCAGGAACTTCACAAATGTCTGCCCTGTTCACCTTCTATATCACCAACTGGAACCCAGAACTCTGCCTCCTCAGCAAGTGCTGATAGTTAGGAACTGAATGAGTGAGTGAATGACCATGAGATTGAGCTGTGTGACATGCGTGTGTGACACCCCATTGCCACATCCCACTAGCTCAGGGAACCTGCCCGAGGAGACCTGCCAGCCAACGACCCTCCAAACCAACAGAACCCGACAGCAGGGCAGGATGAGATAGAATTGGTGCTGGGCTTCCTCTGACCTGCTGGCCCCAGGGAAAGCTCACCTTTGTAGTAGAAGAGGCAGCGGTCCACCAGAACAAACCAGCGCTTGTTCCACTGCTTCACCCCGGAGCTGGCCTACAGGACACACAGAGACAGACGTGAAGGGCCATGGGGTGGGCGTGAAGAGGAGGCAGATGCAGTGAGGGAGCACTGCGCTAGTTCCAAGGACGTTCTGGCTCTAGCTGCAGCACTGCCTCTAGCACGTGGCAGCAACCCCCTGGAGAGCTCAGATGCTGGGAGCTGATATTAGATATTGCCTGTGACTTTCCAGTTCTGTCATTCTGAGGCTCTGGGCCTCCCCCAGGAAAGACAATAGGAGCAAGAGGTAACCCAGGATGAGTGAGTAGAAGGGCAGGCAAGAATACAGCAATGTCCATCTGGGGAGAGTTGGTGAAACTCGGCAGCCCCCGCCCCCACACAGCAAGAGGGCCTACGAGAGAATGTACTATAGGTTACTCTGATGGGATTGGTGGCACGGCATATTTCAAAGTCATTGTGTCTGTTCATCAGGAGCCTCCAATGGATTCCTCAATTTGACTCTAATTAATAGATGTGACTTTGGGAAGATCTTTAATTTTTCTGAGCCTTTATACAATTGAGAGACACACTTAGAAACAACAGGAAAATATACCCAAAAGTTCATGGGCTGCTGTGAACCCAGAGGACTCACAGTGAAGAGTGGTGGTTACTGGGGGTGACATGGCAGGGTGACCTCACCTGTTTGAAGAGCCAGCCGGCCTTGGTGACAGGCGCATTGGGGTTCCGCTTCATGGAGTGGGAGCGCTTGCCAAAGGCGATGGCTTTTCGGGATGTTCGTGTTGTCTGGGGAGGCAGAGAGTGCAGCTGGCCTAACTTCCTGCCTCCCCTTTCTGCTTTATGTGCAAAGGAGCTGTCCCTGCTAGGAGGAATATCTCTAGCAGACCCCTGAGTGCCCACATGCTAAGAGACTTGGGTGTGAATCTTGATCCTCTGCTAATTAAAAGGTATGTGAACTTTTCATTATTTGTATCTTCTGGTTTCAAACATAGGTCTCTTCCCTGTCTCAGCATTTTGCTTTCTTTGGGGGTGGGGTAGGAGAAAAGAAGATTTCACAATGTATACTTTCAATTTTTTTACATTTACTTATTTATTTGGGGGGTCCACATGCATGCCATGGCACAGATGTGGGGGTCAGAGAACAACTTGTAGGAGCTGGTTCTCTTCTTCTACCATGTAGGTTCTGGGGATTGAACTCAGGTCTTGGTGGCAAGTGCCTTTTCCCCTAGTTAGCCCCAGTTTACTCTTTTTCTTCTTCCTCCTCTCCTTTTTTTTTTTTTTTTTTTGGTCTTTTTAAGACAGGGTCTCCTTGTAGCCCCAGCTAGCCTGGCACTTGCTATGTAGACCAGGCTGGCCTTGAACTCATAGAGATCCACCTGCCTCTGCATCCTGAGTGCTGGGATTAAAGGCTTGTGCCACCATGCCTGGCTCCCCTCTACTTCTTAATTACCACCTGTTTCTTCCACATGCCTTCTGGAATCCATACAATGTTACTTCACTGCATCAGTCCCTCTGCAACTGTTCCTATCTCATGTCCAACATTCTACAGAGCTGGGAGGGTGAATGAGGGTCCCTGGCTCCTCAGTGCCTGTGAACACATCATTCTTCTCATTCTGGCAGGACTCTGTTTTCCTTGGACACTGCTGCTTGATCTCTCAATGTCACCCTTCTTGTCAGTACCGGCTTCTAGATCAAACCATTTCTTTGAAGTCTAAGGACTTTGATGCCAATCATCCTCTGCATTCTAAAACTTGAAAGCACTGTGAGAAATCTCACTAGTCTTGAGATGGCCCATCTATGCCTTTTTATATGACCTGATGTCCTCAACTCCAAACCCTGCACCCAGAATCCAGCTACTAACTCCTGGATCTACAGCTCAGGCCCTGTCAGAACCCATCACTTTGCCACCAGCATCTTCAATCCTACCAGCACATTTTCTGATCACAATATTCCATATTTTGTGCTTTCTCCCTCTACTACTCAACTCTACCAGTTTTTCCACTTCACCGAGAGCCTAACTCCTCAGCTCTTACCTCTTTGCTAGATCTACATACTACTTCCTGGTTTATTTCTCTTCAAAACCAGACTCCAAAATCCCATCAACTGTTTTTCTGCTTCATCTGAAACTCAGTGTTCCAAATTAATAAAATTACTCATCCTTTCTGAACTCTTATGCATTACAGAGCTGCTGGAGGGGGTAAAGATCATATGAGGTGACCACAAACCTCCTCCATTCCCAACACCAGCTGGGCTGCACCCCAACAGCAACTCTACTACCCCCTACACACACACCATTTTCCCAAGTCCTCCACCCCCCCAGCCTCTGTCCTCCCCACCATGGTCCCAGCTTCCTCACAGAAGGAATTATAGGCATCAGACATGCACTTCTTCAATTTCACACCCTTTTACCTAGAAAATTCCTGCTCTCATCATTATTGTCTCTCTCCCTCCAATGTCAAACAATGTCAAAAGAAATGTCATCCTCCTTAGGGTGCTTCTGATCCACAGTCTGTTGCTCTGCTGACTACCTCCTCTCCCTTCAGCACAGCTAGGGGTGTGGCTCCGTGGTAAAGCATTTGCCCTGCCTAGTACACAGAAGGCCCTGGTTGTCATCCACAGCACCACATGCACAAGCATGCATGCACAGACACAAATCTATGTTCTAGGTACCTTCTCTGGCTGCCTCTCTTCAGCCATTATATCCCAGTTTCCCCACTTGAAAGCATCTCTCTCACACTCCTACATACCCTAAACCTCCCTTCAGCCCTCATTCCTTGCCCAGTGTAAGATCCTCTTGGGTTGTTATAATGGCCACTAGAAAGAGCCCCACCCTTCTCTTCTCCCCAGACTCTAAAACCTCCCTGCTGCAGTCTGAATGTGAAATGTCCCCTAGAGGCTCATATTTTGAACACTTGGTCCCCTGTTGGTGGTACTATTCTGGGAGGTCATGGAACCTTTATGAGGTGGTGGAAGTAGGTCGCTTGGAGGAGGCAGGCTTTGAAGGGTAGACCTGGCCTCTGCTCTCTGCTTTTTGGACTTTGTGGCATGAACAGTCACTGCCATGCATTCCTGCCACCATGAACTGAGCTGCACTGTCATGTTTTCTCCACTATGATGGACTGGGACCTTCTGGAGCTGCAAGCTAAAAAGATCTTTCCTCCCCCACGTTGTTTGTCAGGTAGTCACAGAAATGGAAAAGTGTGAGATCCCTGCATACAAACACTTCTTTTCTCAAATGGTTCATATAATGCTATTAATTAAATTAAGTCTATTCAGTCCTTGACCAGTTTAAAACAATGGACAGTACTAACTTCCTGTCCTTCCTGAGGCTCTTCTTTTGGTCTTTCTACATCACACACACACACACACACACACACACACAC